CTTCCGCTTTTCCTGCTGTTTCAGTCCGTACGCGAAAATGTTCAGGCAGATGATGACAAATTTGTCCTTGTAGGTGAGGCTGTTAAGGAAGCTGTGGCTGGTTCAGGCGCCCATGGCAGTGGGGGCCCCTCGCAGAGCCGGCAGCTGAGATGTGGAGGCTCAGGTGGTGACTGGGGCATCGCCAGCCTGGGCCTGAGGGACGCGGGGACACACCTGCGTGAGGGAAGAGGCGGGGCCGCGGGCGGAGGCTGCAGGCAGAGGGGAGATGTGCTGACCCAGGCCCCACCCAGACTCCTGGGGGACGGCGGGCCCTGTGTGTCTGGTCTCTGTTGTGCTGGCTGGAGGGCACCTTTGTTGAGGGTCTGTCCTGGGCGCTGCAGGGCACCGAGGGGCCTGGCAGAGGTGGGGCCGCGGGCTGGAAGCAGAGAGACCCAGGTTCAAGTCCTGTTCGGGGCCTTGGGTTCGTCGCCTGCACAGGAGGGGGAGGTGAGTCTACCGTGAGGTCCGGGGAGGCCTGCGGTCGGGCAGGCGCTGCGGCCTGGAGGCCAGCCAGGTGGCCGGCTGGCAGGTGTCGGTCGGACCCAGAGCCCTGCTCTTGTCCTCTGCTCAGCCCCACACCCGACCGGCTCCTGCCCCACTCTTTTCAGAACGTGGGGATCTTAAATGTGAGTTTTTCCCACTCAGGGGGTTGGTTCCATGGACCCCCCTGTGGCTCATCGCTTGGCTCAGCCCTCTCAGACCAGGGGCCCTGCGGTTCCAGCCGGAGCCCCTCAGCTTAGAGTTTAAGCAACAGACTGACCCCCATCACGGCCTGGACGACAGGCGCAGCACCGCCTGCGGGCTCGGCCCGTGGGGGAGGAGCTCAGACTCCAGGCTCCACAGACCGGCGCTCGCCGCCCACCTAACCGTGAGCCGGGACAAGCCGAGCTCTCTGGGCGAGCTCCCTGCAGGAGGTGGGACTGAGCAGCCGCCGCCAGGAACCACCTGGCTGGCCTCTCAGCCTCAGCGCCTGCCCTACACGCCGGGTGCTGGGCC